CTAGGAAAGCAGAAGCAAGGCTCAAGCGAGCAGTAGGCTGGGGAATGCAGGAGCGAACTGAGTGCCCTCTGGTGAGGCAGGCCAGCTCAAGGCCTTCAGGTAGCAATTACCTGACCAGGGGAAAGTGTGAACTCAGAGATAAAATCATTAGTGTATATGGTTATGTTTACTGGCCATAAAACTAAAACAATGTATAGCATAGGGATGATAGAGCAGTTCAGTAAATGCAGGAAGCCTTAAGTAAACAGGTGCCCAGCAGTTGATCCAGAAGCTGCTGACATTTCCATTTAATTGGAATATGTTGAAATCAATGTCTTTCTCTGAAATATGCCACTTCTCTCAGATAATTTCTTGGTCACCACATTCTCCCTCTTAATATTTTGACAAGGAAAAATCATTTATTGACAGTTAACCATTGCATAATTTTAACACTTTTAGCCTTTAGTAAGGCATTTCATTTATTCGAAGTTGCCTATATTTTTCACATTTTTAACATCTGTGCAATTGAGATCGATCCTGGAACTTGATGGAATCTTAGATTCAGGGAAAAGCAGTATTCAGTGATGGTGCTATTTTGCAGATTTCTTCCTCTGAGGAATATTTACATTAAGACCTGAGTTTAATTTTAAGTCATACTTTTCCTACATCAGCCTATCATGCTGTCAAATTAAGTTGCAATTTAAATTGGTAATACAAAAGAGGTAGATCTTAAAATGCAATTATAACCCCTAATCATGAGCTTAAGAATTTCTCTTAAGCTAAAACATTCTTAGAAGTTTCTAAAGAAATAATTTTTGGAAGGATTCACATATAAGATGCACAGTAATTTCCTGACATCTCTCTAAATCACTGTGTGTGCATGCATGTGTGCATGGTGGGGGGTGATAATGCTTAATAGTTTGCAGTCTTACTCTTGTGATAATGAAATAGTGTAGTATAATTTGTCATAGTTTCTTTAGGCTCTTGGGAAAACAGTTAAAGGAGAATGTAGAAATGCTGTGTGTGTGCGCATGAGTTTACTATCTAATGGCTCAAATATCCATTCTATGAAATAGTGATGTAGTTTTTAGCAAAAAGTGCAAGTTATATAGAAAGTTGTTGTAGGCTATAAACAGAAAATTATGAAAGCCTCATGCAAATTGACAACATTAGGGCCCTAGTGGCTATAATACCTATAGCACATGCAAATGATAAGCAGCTCACCAAAGTGAAAATAGCACTTTAACTGTGGGGAAATAAACCGTGTAATCAAAGAAATGCAAATTAGAGACACTGTAAGGTTCCTCATTCATGTCAGTAGGGATTTTTTCTTAATTATCCAAAGCTGGGGTAGAAGCTAAAACTGGTATGATTGGTAGCATTATACACTAATATGCCTCCACCTTTTTTAGAAAGCAATTTAGTATTGGGTTGTCGGAAAAGTCATGACATTTTTTCTATGTTCTTCATTGCAAAAATGCATCATGACTTTTCGTACAACCCAATATTATATGTTGAGCGATGAGAACGTTCTTTTTGGTCTAGTCATTTTATTTTGGAGGTCTTTCCTAAGGAGATTAAAAAAAAGTTTATCAAAAACCACTATATATGTGAAGATCTTCCTTACAGAGTAGAACTTTATAAGTACCTAAAACCCCAACAATAGGGGATTGGCTAAGTAAAGTATAGGAATAACACTTGCTGGGCCATTATGTATCCATTAAACAGTAAGTATGCTGCAATGGGGTGGAGTTCATTTGTCAGTAACAAAATAGAACATAAATTTTACACTGATTAGAGCTTTCTTTTTAAAAAGTATAAGAAAAACAACTAATTGTAATTATAGTAATGATTGAGTTTATGAGTAATTTTTAAGCAAAGCATATTTTGACTCTTGCAAATTTCTGTTCATATTTGTTAATGGAATGAGCAAGTGACTTTTATCTATTCCCACCTTTAGTGTGATCATCAGTACTGCTGATTAACTAGGTCTCTCTCAGTTGCAAGTTAAAGAAACTCTCTCAAAATAGCTTAAATTGTTTTTAAAAGTATTGACTTGTACAACCAGAGTTCACACAGTAAAAACCAAGGAACTCCTGTCTCAGTTCTGCTCTCTGTTGAGCTCTCCTGAAGAGGCTCTCCCCTCATGGTGAAGGGAGCCTCCGCAGCTCCAGGCTGTCTGAGGGTCCTAGAGCACAGCTCTGCCTTTCTCCTTGGGTTCTTGGCAGGTCCCAGGACAGCTGTGACTGACTGGTCAGGCCTGGGGCATGTGGCCACCCTAGAAGGTAGGGTAGGCATGACAATGGGGCTGATTGTCACTTGGGCTAATGTTGCTTTTCTTTCCCCTTCATGTTGGCATTTCTTTTTATCCCAACCTTTTTTTTTTTTTTTTTTTTTTTTTTTTTAAAGATTTTTATTGGTGAATTGGGGGGATGGGAACAGTGCTGGGGAATTGGGGGAAGGGGGACAGACAAGTTGCTGTCGTTTTGTTCTTCAGTCTAGTTGTGGAGGACGTTGCTTCACTGGCCCAAGTTGGCACCATCATTGCGCTTTTCCCTGGTGAGGCAGATCAGTCGCCGGCTTCTGGACGGCCGCTCACGCTGGCCATTGGCTACACACGGTAGCCCATGGCAACCCACTGCAGCAGGGGCTGCAGCCCACGCCGTCGCCGGCGACTCACAGCAGCCCAGCTCCAGGTTGAGCCGTTGTTCAGCATCTTAGCTGTGGAGGGCAGTGTCACTGGCCCTCATATGTGGGATCCGAACCGGGGCCCTCTGGCATCCCAAGCGAGTTCTTAACCATCGCGCCACTCGGCCGGCCCTATCCCAACCTTCTTGATTTTTGTATTTAGATCCACAGTAACCATCTTGGTTTGGGGCAGAGTGTGTGTGTGTGTGTGTGTGTGTGTGTGTGTGTGTGTGTGTGTGTGTGTGTGTGTGTGTGTGTGTGTGTGTGTAAGCCTGCTTCTTTGATTCTAGTACTTACTTTCCTTGGACTTGTCATTGAAAAATTTCGATTAAATTTTATCATGCCATAGGCACTGGTACATAATATGGCTACTTTTGCAAACATTTCTGCTTACTGTTTGGATTCAAATGCATTATATTTGCTTTCTTTTTGGTAAGAAGTAATCTTGAATCCTTTCAGAAGCCTGAGGTTCGAGGCAACTGTTAATGCCTCTTCCTGTCACTTTGTGCACAACTGAATTAATTTATTTTTCTAAATAGGTAACATTGTCTCATTTTTCAAATACGTGGAAAAAAACGTTAAAATAATTTTATGGGTCTTTTACATAAAAATGTCAAATAGAATAATTTCTCCAAAAGCAGTTTAATAAACTTGAAATTCAGTGAAGAATTTCCTTGAAGAACAAAGCAATTGGTTTAGCTATATAAATTTCTAGTGCTGGCAGTACCATTAAAATGGATGGTTCAGATTCCTGTTAAACCAAGAAGTCCCAAAGTCTATTTATGCAAGATTCTAACTGTATTACTTGTAGGGGAAAAAAAAAGGATTCTAGGTAGATAACTTTGTGAAATGCTGAGTTAAACAGTATTCATTAGTAAACTAATTAGTTTTTAACATGTCAGTGTGCATTTTGATTCTCTAAGAACAAGGGATATACTGTATTTAGATTTGACCACCAAATGCCCTTTTAAAAAATAGAACCATTATTATGTGGTGTGGGAAATAGTGCCTTAACCATTACTCTATCAGGATCTTGGTCTATTTTCTTACCAGATTGGTTAAGTGGTTTGAGATGGACAAGACTAAGGAATATCATAGGGTTTTTTGTTTTTTTTTAAATGACTTTATTATTCCATATGGTGGCAACCTTTGTCTTATGAAAATTTGATGGGGCCAAATATATGGTGATGAAAGAACTGACTGGGTGGTGAGCACACAATGTGATACATAGATGATGTATTATAGAAATATACTTTTGAAACCTATGTAATTTTACTAATCATTGTTATCCCCAGTAAATTTAATAAAAGAAAAATGCTATTAAAAAAAGAAGAAAAATCAAGTACATGTTTCGTATTCTTGCCTAAATAGAAGACTATCCCACCTTGGTACAAGGTGGACTTCAGGCAGGCCTGCCTTTACATAGAAACAGCCAATTTTTTAATTTTTTTACAAGCAGCCCTATGATCAGCTCTAGAAAGTATTCTTATTGAAGCCCCAAATTAATCATGTGGCATGGAAGGAAAAAAATGAGAGTTTAGCTATGGAAATTGAGGGCAAAAGTTTAGTCACTTTTATGAAAGTATTAAAAATCACTATCATGAAAGTGTTCTTATAGTGGAACATAGAGCTTTTATGCTATCCTTTTAAATCTGCCATGATGAATAGCCTCCAAATAAAGCACAGCTAACTCAATAAGTTCATTTGTTGAATGGAGTTAGAATTAGCCTAAATGTCTAAAGAACATTTGCCAAACACAACTCATCTGGTTTTGGTACATTTGATATACCAGGGGTGCCCAAAAAATGTATATACATGACTTGTATTCATCTTTTGTTATCAGTATATATTGAGCATTACAATTTTAATGCAGGTTTTTCCTTTCTTAAAATGTGTATACATTTTTTTGCACCCTCTGTATTAGCTGGTATCTTGACAGTAATTGGCCACAGCATAACTTGCTTCTTGAGACTGTTCCTGGAATGTGCTAGTAATATCAGCACAAAGGAAGGTGGTTGTATTTCTGATTGATAAGTTGGAGGGGGAAGGCACATATATGATTCATCTAAAAATTTCATAGATTATTTAGATGCAAGTTAAAAAAATGTCTAAGACATAACCTGGTTTTGTTCCACATATATGGAGAGATTCTACAATTTTGCATTTTCCCAGTAGAATTTTTATATTGTTGCCTTTACTAAAATTGGCTTATCATTACTAAAAACTCTTCCAAGACTGTTAAAAGTGCTTAAAATTAAAATTGATTATTTTGAAAATCATGTATTTTTCTACTCAACTAAATCATCACACCTTTTACTCTTCTTCCTATACAGACTTAGCTTTGGAATCAAACCCTTCTGACCATCCGAGGGCAAGCACAATTTTCCTGAGCAAATCTCAAACGGATGGTAAGAAAATAATTTTTTCCTCTGAGAAAAAATTGAAAACTGTTTCTATGTTGTGTATTATAGAAAGTATTTAGAAGAACTCATACATTGGTTTAAGTGTTTCACTTTTCCAAGTATCCACTAGTTTTATTTTAATAGGTGATGATACACACTTTCCTTTAGTTGTCACTGTTTTAGTGAGAACAGGTAGACTATCTGTTTACACATTTTGCCACCTCTTTATCAACTCAGTCAACTGGCCACATGATTTAGATGGGGTCTCTTTCTCCATACTACTATGTCCTTTTCCCCTTGCTCCAAAGAGCACACATTTTAGAGATGAATGATAGGATTTAGTTCACAGGTTTTCATTTGAACAAATAAAAAAAAATCAGATGTTTATATATGGGGATTGAATGTGTGATTTGGGCCCCATTTTACACAGTGCTCAACCAAATGACGCTGTCTCACATCCAGACTTACGCTGCATTCCATTAATGGAACGCGGTGCTAGGGGACACAGAGCAGACATGCCTGTGGGGCTTCCCAGGTTAGCCTCAGCACCTGAGACTAGTGTCAGTTTCCTGTGTCCTGTTTGTTTTAGGGTAAGAATCAGAACTGTAGTATTTTAACACTCCTGCCTACTTGCTTATTTTCCTTAATGTTATGTGAAATCGAGCTTATTTGCTTAAAAAGCCATACATGACCAAGTTTTTCAGTTGATTCTGACAGCAGGAATACAAAAAGTGAGGGTTCCATAATATCTGAAGTAATACAGCACAATAAAAAATGGGGTTCCTAACCTGTATTTTCGTAGCGTGTGTACTGTGCCTTTTCTTGAGCCAATCGTTTTTGGTTTGGAGTGCCGCTGTATTTTAGTTTCTCCCAAAGCTGCGAGCTGCTCATGTGTAGAGAGTAGAGACAGTGAAAGGAAAGCTAGCTCGCGCCCCTCTGCCTTCAGTCGTAAGCAGTGTGTGCCTGCGATGCCCATCCTGCATTGAAGGAGGCTGTGTGGGTAACCATGTGGAGCTTTTGTTGTTCTGGCCTTTGTTAGAGCAAAATGATTCCGTGTGCTTGTAGATATGTTCACTTAGGTTAGCACACTCATTTTAAAATTTAAATTTATAATAAGACAGGTTACTTTCCAATTGAGTCAAGACCCGTTTATTTTTTCAGTAAGGTATTTCCGTTGATTCCCGGTAAGTGGTTCAGGATGCTGGCAGGGATGCTGGTGCATCTTGAGAGTCTTAGAGCTGTCAACCATTAGGTTCTGGTAATCCAAGTAAGCCAGGTGTAAATGTAGAATTAGAAACTACGACTGGGCAGTGGTTCAGATGTACAACAGGTAAACTTTTTTATTAGCTAAGTTTCTCACCTGGCCTAATTTGCTCTGCCCTTTTCTTTTGTACATAGAGTCTTTCATTTGTACCTAATATAGAATATTTGTTAGGTCAAAAAGTAAAACTAAGTTTTTACATTTTACTTTATGGGATTCATCTTGCCAGGTGATTTAAATGATAAATTTTGTTTGAAATTATAAATGGATTTTATAATTTCTGAAATGGATTTTTGTCTCATTTTGTATGTTGGTAATCCATCAGATAATTAGCAACTACTTTTATTTTCCTGTGGCATTTGTATCAGAATTGATCAGTTAATTTTTTTTATTCTTAGTGCGAGAAAAGAGGAAGAGCAACCATTTAAATCATGTAAGTAAACAGTTGAAAAGTTAAGTAAGAAATTAATAGTTTGAATTAAAAGTATGTCGGCCATGATTCCTAAAAAATACAATGGACTCGATACTGTTTGGACCTCTTTTTGTAGATTTTCTGAATCTCTTTAGTTTTCCTGATTACCAAATACACATATTCAGGAAAGTCTTTGGCTTAGTAATGCCCATTTTTTAAGGGTTCTGACATTCAAGTTAAATTTCAATAACCTGATTGTGGTATGAAGATCTGCCTTAATTTTTTTATCTTATTTTTTAACAAAGGTATAATAGCTAAGTTAATTTTTAGCACTATTTATTGACTTCCTGGCATGGCAGGTGAAAGCTTAGCTTCCTGACTCCACCATGGACTTATTTACCTCCCTCCATTCCCTCAACATGTATCATCATGGTTTTCATTAAATCATAATGTTTGCATTATAATGACTATGCAAATAGTGTTCACTGCTGAGCCACTGCTGGCTGTGCCTCCTCCGTGTACGCCCTTCATTCTTTTTCTTAAATATAACTGAAATCTGGGCACTTCTGCACTTCTCCAGGATAATCCAATCCCTCTTTCAAGCCAACATGGTCTCACATGGCCATATGTAGTAAGTAGGCTGGTCTCCCTGCTTTCAAAAAAATGGTTTTGTACCGAACAATCGAGTAATATGACAGAAAAAGATGACTAGCAGACAGAAATACTACATTTATGCTGCATTAACTTAATACCTAGTAAGTCTTCATTTTTGTGTGTGTGGAATTAATTTCCTGACTATATTCACTTGCCTGTTTTCTAACAGTTTTTCTCCCAAATGTTGTAACATTTGTCACATGCCTATCAAAAATATTTTCCATCTACTAAACACATCTGTTCCATTTTTTTTCTCAGAAACAACATTCCCCAGCCTTTTGTTATCCTACTCCGATATAGACTGGTTTTCTCTAGGCCTGCTCTATACCTGTCTTCCTGGCATATCTCTTGGAAGTCATCTGGCATCTCACATCACTGCTCTCTTGTGTTGGAGTCCCTATATCATTCCTATGTTTCTCTCTGTCTTGTTATATTCCATTGTTTTACTGGAGCACATTTCTCTGAGAAAGGGTAAATGGGCAGAAGTTTTTCGAGATCTAGCCCCTCTGAAATGCCTTCTATTTGATAAAGTGTAGAATTTAGGTTGAAACTAATTTTTGTAGTTCTAAAGACATTTCTACTGTTTTCTCATTGGTAGCGTTGCTCTTAAGTCTGTTGAGATTGTATGGTACATTGTACATTACCAATTTTAGTCATTTTACCCCCATCTCTTCCTTCCCTGGAAGCTTTTAATTAGTACCTTCTCTATCTCTGGGATTCTAAAATTTCATAATGTGCTTTGGTATGGACCTTTTCATTTTACTGGGGCCATTAAGGCTGCAGGTCTTCTTTCAGTGAATTTTTTTTTGTTTGTTTCTTTGATATTTTCTCTGTTCCTTCTCTTTTTAGTATTCCTATTATTCAGATGTTGAAAATCTTAGACCAGTATTTCTGCATGGATTTCTAAAAATTTCCCCCCTCCTATTTTCCATTTTGTCTTTTTTACTTCCTGGAGATTTCCTTGATTTTATGCACCAATGCTTCTGTTAAATACTTTGTTTTGTCTATCCTATTTTTAATTTATAGAGTTCTATTCTGTCCTTTTTCTACAGCATTTAGTTCTCTCACCAATGCAATTTTTTATCTTTCTGAGGTTGCTTAAGAATTTTTTTTTTTTCAGTTTTCATTTGCTCCTGAATTTTATTAACTCCCATTAACTTCCTTCTTCCTGTTTTGATCTCTCTCGCTTGTTGGCTTCCCTCAGATGTGTGCCAGCCCCTGGCTGTCTTAAGATCTAATTGGAAGCACCAGGAATGAGCAGAACTTTGTTAATTGACAGGCCTCACTGCACGGATTTGGGAGCCAAGCCTCTGAATTCTGAGCCTGCCTTAGGTTCTCTTGTTCCTGTCCCAGCCACTCTCTGTAGGTACCAAGGTTGTGCTTCCTTTGTCCTGCCATGTGAGTTACCACTCCTTTGTCTATTCTTCAGCTTTCAAACTTTAAAATCCTCTGCTGTTTATCCTATTGTGTAGAACCTTTCTTTTAATGCCTTTAATTATAATAAGAGATCTCAAAAAGGAAGGGAAGAGGAAATAGATTTATAGTCAGTCCACCATGTTTAACTCAAACTTAGAATCTATGATTAAAGTGTAAATCAAAGTTTAAAGTTTTAATTCAATGTAATTAATGAATTTAATTCAGAGAATATTTTTTATTATACCTATAAATTAGCATACTATACTTTTCTATTAAGGCCTTGATTAAGAATTCTATTCAAACCACACACCCTGCCACATTGTTCCATTAATGTGCAGCATAGTTTTCATTAATTCATAAAGTGTTAGAAATTTTTAAGTTAATTAAAAGTCATTAATTCTTAATATCTAAAACTTGTGAAAAAGTAGAAAGAAAAAATTAATCTTCAGCTTTATTTTTTTAATGGGTTAAAATGAAGCAATAGGCATAAAAAGGGTGGGGGCAGGATTTCAGCAGGTACTTGAGGTTTGGTGGTAAGGTTTGGGCTGTAACTTATTAGACTTCTAGGTATGATTATTTTTCTATCTTTGCCATTGAACCTTAAGTCTACTAAGTAACCCTTTCCGTTATAAAAATTGTAAAAGTCCATCTATTCTGTCATTAGTGCTGAATGAGTGAAGATAAAATATTGTTCTTTGTCCCTGACTATTCTAATAACCAACTGAAATAATGCCTGTGAACACTAAACTATCAATAGTGTTTTTGGCTGATTGATTTTTTTTTGCTTTATTTTAAAATTTTTTTTTAGTATTTGCATTTTGTATCCTTGTGTTTGTCAGTGTAATTTATTGAGGTTGTGAGCCAGCAGTGGTTAAGGCTTTAACCTAAAGGACAGTTGTCTTAAATTTTCAAGCAAGATGAGGGAAAAGTAACCTGCTGGCAGGCAATGTATCCAGACTTCACTCAGAGGCTTCTTCTGCCACCCTCTAGTGAGTACCAGATACTTGATGCTGAAAGTTTCAATAGTTGGGAGTAGGCCTGGGCTGACGGGGGAAGTGTTCAGTGTTTGGTTGGATCCAGCCAGTAGACTGTAAATTGCTGATTTACTAAATGAGCCCTCATAGGGCTGTGAGACCATGTCTAATTAAATTTTTTTATTTTTTTAACATTAATATTTTCAAAGACAAACCAATATGCATTTATAATAGAAAAAAATTTTAAACAGAGGAAAATTGGAGCAAATATTACCCTAAGCTTTACCAGCTAGTCTATATTTTGGTGCATTTCCTTTCTATTCTTTTTACTCCCTCAACATACAGGTTTTTGGTCAGAATTCACTTTATTACGGTGTACTATGTGCCATATTATACCTCAATAGTAGTGATCTTAAAAGATGATAACCTTACATTTACAATAAAAGTATTTGAATAAATTTTCATTTTTCATGCTGTATTTGTTCTTTGAGATTCCAAAAGCAAATTACAAGTTAACTGAATAACTTAAGGAACATATCAGAGTTTTAGATATAATTAAAACATTTCTAGCATGCAGAATTTATTCCTCCAAATAGTGATATTTTTCAAAAATATGTCTGGAACTTTTCATTAATAAAGAATAAGTGGTTTTTGCAGTAAAACATCTGAAACAAGCAAAATGGTATTTTATGTAACATATGAATATTTCTGATTATTGGCTACTGGCAATTTTTAAATGCTTTGTATTTCAAAAGGCATCAACTAGATTTTCTGTCTGCTCCATCTTTTGTGTATTTGTGGGGGATACTGAGGGGAGAGTATGACCATGGTGAAAATTATTTTATATTAATATGAGGGAGGAAGGAAGGCTCATCTGAATTAGTTTTAAAAAACAACAAAACCAAGCATATTAAAATTGTTGTTACTCTGGGATATTAAAGAATGCTACTATTATAACTACTTACAGTGACTGAGATTTGGTTATTGGCCTTCCTTTAAGAAAGGGAATTGTCCTAATTTATCTATTTCAGTATTTGATTATTGCTGGGTTCTTCACAAATAAATGGATACTTCTAAAGTGTTTTAAAAATAGTTTATTCTCTAGAGGGTCTCAAAGCATTCATTGTTACCTCTCCAGTTACCACCACTGCAGATAAATTCTAATTTGTATCTATGGGAAGATTTACCTTCCAATTGTAATTGATTTTAAATAATTTGTCAAACAGTTGTTAAACTCCTAGTTTGTCCCAGATTCTATGCTGAGCAGCTGAAGGTAGGAGAGGAGTAAAGCCCTCCTTCCCTAGAGAAGCTTGCTTTCTTCTGAGGGGGGATACCCTGTAAGCAATTGATACCATGTAACAAGTGGTGATTTAGCTGTATGTACTGAAATGACGAAGTTTTATAGTGTGGCTACTGGTAAATGTATCCTGGAGGTAGACAGGAGTTAAGCTTGTTGGTCCAAGGAGGACGAAAAAGGCATTGCAGCATGAGTGAGGCAGGAAAGCGTCCTGATAAGTGTTAGATAACTTAGAGAATAAAATAAATAAAATTTAGAAATGAATAGCAAGTATTCTCTGAGGTTCTCACTTGAGTAATGTTAATGACAGTCTTATTTAAACATGAAGTGAGAGTTAAATGCTCAAAGTTGTTTTATCTGTTTTTTGAATGTGAGAGAATCTTAAAACAATCTTCTTTTATCCTCCAGGTAAGGAAACGGAAGTACTGAGAAACCGTTGGCCCCCTAGCTTGTTAGTAATAGAGAAGCCCCAGCACACATACCTCTCACTCGAAAATATTTGTTTTGCCACACTGTCTTCCTGAACTAATATTTATTATTGGCTTTCAGTAAATAAATTGGCTTTCATTTACTGCAATAAAATGCTCTTGCTTCAATATTATATAAGGCATTACGTTTTATTGTAGTAAATTAATAGTCAAAATAGAAAATCTCAGCTGCTTTTAATTGCTTAAGGAAAAAAACCACTGAAATCTTATTCTAAACGTTTTACATTATTATAAAGGGAATTTATAATAGGTATTGCCAAGTTTGATTATAGGTACTATATCAAGGGCAGCATATTATAACCCATTCCTCAGAACTTGTCTGTGGAAGTTAACAGTATCTAATTGGTAGCCCATGGAGCTACACATGATATCACACTCAAGTAGTTTATGGAGTGTAAGAAAAAATCTTAATGCTTAATCATTTGACATTTTAACCAAGGAAAAAATACACTTTTATAGGTTTAACTTACTGTGACATTTTCTTCTATTTCCCTTCCCCTTCAGGTATCTCCAGGGCAGCTCACTAAAAAATATAGCTCATGCTCAACAATATTTCTAGATGACAGCACAGTCAGCCAGCCTAATCTTAGAACCACAATAAAATGGTGAGTACAACTAGGTTGCCAAGGGCTGAGTGACAGACCCCCTTATGCTAAAAGCATCCTAGCCATATGTAATTTCACTCATTTCATTGTCCTTTTCAGTGATCAGGTTAAGAAACTGGTGTCAATTATATAATGATTTCAGGGACCTAAAAATGAATTTTCAATTTCCGTTTTAATCTTTGAGGGGATGGAAGAAGGGAAAGCCAGTTAGTAAATAAGAAACCCCAGAAAGAGTATATCTGTATCTTTATTTGATGCATTTCTCTTGTTACGACATTGTTGAACATAATGAAAAGGAGAAGTGCTTTTTATTGGATGTTTCTAGAAAAAAGTATTTATTAGGTATAGGCCTGAAACAATGCATACCACTTTGGAAGCTACTCGGCGAAGGAGGAACAGCTTGTCCCTACTGGCACCAGAGTGTATCTGTATTTAAATTGGATTTGGTCAGATTTTCCCTATCGTGTATTTTTTTCCTGTACTATTTCTGTATGAAAATTCACTCCTCCTTCCTGTCCTGCAAAGAAGAGGAAAAATGCATCAATCTAGTCTTAAGGAACAACTTTTCAAGCTAATTTCGTCGTAGATAAAATTTGCTTAACTGAGGTTTTGATTTAATAGATATATTAAATTTAATTATATACATATTTATAACTATACATATATATCTCTAAGACATTATATATAAGAAAATCATAGCAGAAAAAAAATGAGAGGTGAAGTTTTGTAAAAACACTGTAAGATGAACCTTTTAAGCTTATTTAAGAGAGAAAAAAAACCCAAAACAGGATGTAGAGCTTCCTGACTCCCATTGGGGTTGTCCAAGGAACTTTATTAATATCTCCTTGGGATATGAGTGTTGAGTTTTCAGAACATACTTTGGGAAATGCTACTTGAAAATATTAATATCCTCATCCCTAATTTTATTTTTCAGTCTTAAAAACATAATTAGCTTATATATTTAATTTTGTTTCTAATGTACCAGCTTTTTTTTCACTGATTAAATTATCAGTAACTTCTACTTTAATTAAAAACAACAAGTTCACAATCATAATAATGTAACTTTCTCCTCTCACTTATAACAATAGTTGAGGTCAAATTGTGTTTCAGCAAGACCTGAGCCCTGTCTCTCTCTAAAGTCCTGAGCTCTGGCACCTATCAAGTAATCACTGAATGTTTTTATTCAGTCAAGACATGAAATCCATGGGTAAAAACACCACTCTACTTTGGCTTTAGTCCACAGCTTCTTTTGAATTCAAAAGATTCTGATATTTCAGTATGTAATTCAAAAGTAGTTTTAAAGATTAACTTCACTCTGAGAAGTAAGTTTCATGCTTTCCGCCCCCTGCCCTCCCAAATTAGTCTCATTTTTGGAAGTATAGAAAGTTTTAATTTGCTTCGTTTTTAAAAATTATCTTTCATACATTCACTATTGGCGAAATAAAGATGTACTGACAAAATTAATAGAGCAAATGAGTTTGAAAACTGTTTCTCTTGGGGTAATAGTAGTACATTGTTTTCAGTAGGATGGGTGAGCCTTATTAGAATCTCTTATGCAACTTTTTCAAAATACATGTCTCTAAACACATTCATTCCAGCCCCTCTTCCCTCCCCCCAACACACTCTCTTACTCTCAGGAGACTTTTGATAGGCTGAGGAAAGATGTGAGGCATGATGATATGCACAGAAGCATCCACCGTAATTCTGACCATAACTCTTACCTCATTTGTTCCCAAACTTTGCTGCACATTGCAGTCACCTGGGGAGCTTTAAAAACAACCCCAAGTCATACCAGTGCCAGTTAAATCAGAAGGTCTAGAGGTGGAAGCCAGGCAGCTTTTAAAGTTCCTCAGATGATCTCAGTGTACAGCCAACCTTGGAACCACTGCTGGTTGGAGTGGAGGAGAAAGAGAACTGCTTCTCACCGTTGGTAGGACCTTGGGCAAGTCAGTTTTAACCCGATTCCCTTATCTGTAAAAATGGGTTGTTGAATTAAATGTCATCTCAGGTTCAGTGGTCCTTTTCAGCTTGTATTCTTCAAATTCTGTGATTTTAAAATCAATTTGAAGATGAAACTGTTTGAAGCACTATAGAAGTATCCATCTTAGATGCTAACAATGTTACCGGCCTTTTTACAAGTGCTAGTATTTTACAAGACCTAGTTATAAAATTCAGATTTGCCTTCCCTCAATTATTTTGAGCTTCAGTTTAGACACTGAGGGCAAAGAGGAGCATATAACTTCCCCAAGAGAACCCCTCTGTTGCCCAAGTACACGTCATTTGTGAGTACTTTAGGAATCCAGTAACTTACACAGTGTCTGAGGACTTACACCTGCTCATTCATGTTTCATTTAAGCTAATTTATAAATAACTGTTATTAATATTACACTGTGTAGTAGTATGCTGCATTGTTAGCACTGCTTATTTCAGGATAGCTAGACCTATTGATTTTGTGGGTAATTATATTTGCTATTAAATTTTCTAATAATTATATGAGTTATTTTAAATGACTTTATTTGCTATAGAGCTCTTTATTTACCTTTAGGGAAATCATGGAAAAGGAATGGGTACATGGATAGTGAACTGAAATGTGGGGCCTAACAACTTTTTTTTTTTTTAAAGCACAAAATCTGTCTGGCTTAAATTTAAGCTTGTGTACAAATAGGTAAAACTTGTACAGGATGAAAGGTTCTATGGGTAAAAAGGCAAATGACAGGGGACATACGTAATAACTTATATAATATGATAATCAATCGAGACATGTCTTCTAACCTAGCATTTTGGTTCTACTTTTGCTAAAAGCTAAAGAACCAAAATAAGGGGGCCCCAGCGCCCACATGATACTGTTCTAAATAAGAATTTCAAGGCCACTGGGCATCTGGGAAGGTCTTCTCTCCCCCCACAACCCAGCCCATTTAAAAAAATGTCTTCAGACCTAACATGTTAAAATCAATTGTTACATTTTTTTTCCTCCACAGTGTGACCTTAGCAATATATTACCACATAAAGAACAGGTGAGTTGTAAAACCTGTCTTGTTATTCTAGCTAATAAATTTATAAGGTATCATGTTTAGAGTTAGGTAATAACTATAGACCTTATTTGTAGTACTGTAGAGTACTTTTACTGAAGTGAATCGTTTGTTTTTCTCTTATGGCTCTTAACCCTTAAGTCATTGAGAATCCCAAAGAGTATTTGTTTATGTGTGTCATATTGATACTGTATTAGAAATTAAAATTGAGAATTGAAAAATAAGTCCATTATATGTTAAAACAGAGTTTTTACAGCACTATTGAGATTTTGAGCTAGATAATTCTTTGTTGTGGGGGATTGTCCTGTGTATTATAAGCTATTTAGCAATATTCCTGACCTCTACTCACTAGATGCCAGTAGCACCCTCTCCCCAATTCCACATTGTGACAACCAAAAATGTCTCCAACCACGTCCAAATGTACCCTGGGAGACAAAAATCACCCCAGACCGGGAACCATAGTACTAACATAATTTTTAAATTATTCTCCACAACAAAAAAGTTGAGTGGAAAGTGTGTTATTTATTTACGTTTTTGCAAATCTATTTAATGTCTGGCTTAATGGAAGTCAGCTGATTCTCATGTCTACTCTGTCTTCAATCATTTGCAATTACTTCAGTCATTTGTTTGGAAGAAGCGATATGAAGAAGAACCAGCCCATGCAGATATATAGCTGGAAAAATGTGTATTTTTAAAACTTTCAGATAATTGTGAATATTATTTGACACTGTACCAAAAGTCTACAAGTGCTAGTTTCTTAAATTAGTTACAATGGAATTTTAAATCATATCAATGGCCTTGTAGTAAGTCTGTTAAATTAATACCCATTGATCTATTCTGGTACACTAAATGGATCTTTTACTTGTACATGATTTTATACTGTTATGCTTTTGTCATTTGGAAAGTATTGATTCCCATTTCTTTACACAGTGTCAAAAACTCACTTTTGTTAGTATCACCACCAATCTTATCAGAAAAGTCTTTAAGTATTGAAAAGCTGTCAAGCTCACAAAAGAAGGTACACGTTTTTTCAGATCCTGATTTTTAGCTTGATAGCTTGAATTTTATCATTGCCAACAAATATATTTATGTTATTTTCCTTGAAATGACAGACTGAGATTGTTCGTTTTTGAGAGAATGACAGTTGTACTATCAAATAAAGATGGTATTCTATGAGAAAAGTGGCTTGTTTAGCTTACAACTAAGTCACCAGTACCTTTCCTTAACACACCCGTGTTTCAGTATACAGAAGTTCTTAGTGCCTACTTTCCACTTACTCATTCAGAATATAAAAAGAATCAAGGTTTAATAACATTATTAATTTTTACTACTTTATCATGGATGTTCTTAAGTAAAGCAGAATTTTTTTCAACTGCAAGTGGCAATGAAGAATAATAGAATGACCTCTAGTACAGTGTGGTCCCACTGCCTTGATTCATGCTCAGAAACCAGCTGTACCCACTTTGCTTTTGTACAGTCACTGCAAATGTCAGCATAAAAGGTAATGCCTTAGTAGTCCTATAAAAACAGTTTTGACCTCATGGGCCTCCTGAACAGGGTCTAGGGGAACCCCAGAGGCCAGCAGAACACATCTGGAAAATCACTGTTTAAATGAGCACGGTCTATAAGTGTTGTGAACTTTTAAATCAAAAGACCAGTCACTTCTAAAATAAAAAGACAAGTTTTTAACTCAAACTAAAGAGACAAGAAAAAATGCACAATAAGAATATAATAATAGGAAACTAATATGAAAAAAAAACAACGGAAGAAACATGAATCTCCTATTCACATGCATTAAAATTCTGAAGACATTATTGCCCATCACAACTGCTTTATATATATATATATTTTTTAGCTGAGCCATCCTGCCACCTGTTGGCAGCTCAGCGGCAACTCAGCTTGGGCTGGGCATCAAACTGCTGTTGCTCAGAGCTCGCACTCTTGCGCGAGCTCTTAACCAACTGAGCCACTCAGCCAGCCCTACAACTGCTTTATAAAATGTTCTTGTGTATCCAAATGTGAGGTTAGAGGAATAGAAATATATTTAGTTTACTAGCACTGCCTCTTAGGGTCAGTGCTTATAAAGGCAACTCAGGCTGGTCATTGTAGAAAAGATGTCACAGAATTTGATGTGCTAAATTAAAAGGGGTCAGGAAACCCTTACACAAACCAAGAGAAGAACTTGTAAAACTGCTTTGTTGAAGACTAAGCTTCTCCCTCCAGCCCTTCTCTACTCCCCATAGATGTGTTACTAAGATAATAACAATTCTTGAATTGGTGTTTTAAATGAACATTCTTATTTTGTAGAGATGCAAATAGATCGTTGGATATTTTTGATGAGAGATCACATCCACTCACAGTAAGTGTCAGTTTTATTTAGGTTGTATTTTTCTCTCATACAGTTGTGTTTATTTTGTGCTGATTTGCTTTGAAATTAATTACTTGACGAAAATTACTCCCTCCAGCTTGAAGTAAAAATCATCTTCCTTTAACTCTTCTTTCCCACCCCATGTTGTAGCTTAATTATTTTACAAAAGAGGTGTTGTATGAGGGACATGACAGTAAGAACTGCATTTCAGCTTTGTATAATTAGTGAGCTAAAGTGAATAAACATACCCAAATTACAGAAAATATCTTTTTAAAACATAATTTTCAAGAACATCAAACAATATAAACACCAGGGGTGCCAAAAACGTGTACAAGTGGACACTTTGGTCAGCGTTGCTCAAGCAGTAGTTCGCTGTAATCAGAAGTGTCTGGGCGCTGATGGTAACCACTTTGAGCTTGTAATTGCAGGAGTCAAACATGACTTGTATTCATCTTTCGTTATCGGTATATATTGAGTATTACAATTTTAGTACAGCTTTCCTTTCTTAAAATGTGTATACTTCTTTTTGGCACCCTCTGTATTTGTAAATAAACCTCACAAATATTTTAAGATCTCAAGAAAATTAAAGAATTATTTAAATTTTAAATCAATTAAAATAGCAAAAATTTAAAATTCTTCAGATGGTCTGTAGTGACGTGTGGCTGGTGACTACTATATAGGACAGCCCAGCCTGAGAGCCTTATAGTTCCAGGAAACTGAAAATGGCTTTTCAGAGTTGATTGCAGAGAAGTTTGACATGATGATCAACAAGACTTTTGAGCGTAAAAATAATTTACATTTAGATAGAATTCTGTGGGTGTAAGGTAGAAAGGTACATATATAATTTTTCTGAGGTTGTGCCTGTATTTTTCTTTAATGAATGGTGGTGAGTATTAAATCACTGTGGTATTTTTAAGATCCTTTTGTTTATATTTAAAAGACTAAAAGACATGTCACCCATTCAAAATTACTTTATGGAGCATGTGGGCACAAATAAAGATTGCTATTGTAAGAGTACTGAAGTATTTTTCTTCAGTGGATACTTATATTGCATTTTTTCTTCTTTCAGCGAGAAAAGGTTCCAGAGGAATATTTTAAGCATGATCCTGAACACAAATTGATTTACAGATTTGTTCGTACTCTTTTTAGTGCCGCACAGCTAACAGCTGAATGTGCAATAGTAACTTTGGTAAGCTATTTCCTCTTTCATAAAGCATCTTCTCTGTCTTGTACACAACGTATGGTCCTGTTTTTCAAATAAAAGTAGGTTCCTCTAATGATCATGAGAACTTTTATTAAGAGAAACCTATCAAAGGAAGTAAAATACACATATTCGAGCTTAATCATTAAGATTTAAAATGCTGTCATTGCTTTTTTCATCACAAAACAATTGCTATTAAAGGCAGAAGGAGAATGTCTGGTGTCTCCCTCCATAGCTCAGGACACACACGCACATGCAGTGCACACATGTACACACAGGGTGTACTGGTGGGGTAGGATGGGGGCAGGGACAGGCAGAGACTGACTCAGTGCAGGTCTAAGCCGAGTCCCAGGCAGTTCTGATGTGTGTCCTGATTGACAGCCACAGCCCTAAATCCTCTGTTCTGTGGATGATGGGTGTTATTCCATCCCCGTTGTCCTCCTGTGCCTGCTTGAGACGTTGCCTAGGGTTATGGTGCCGGCAGTCCTTGAAAAAGATTCGCTAGGTGCCTACTAAGCTACCACCGTGTAAGGCCTTTGTGTCATCCATACAGAATTCCTATGGTAAGATTCTATCATTTTGCATTATAAGTCTCATTCTAGCCGGAAGTGGTGGTATTATATTCTCCCACAGCAAACCTATGTCAACTGCATGGTGTGAAGGAAAAGGATACATAGGTCACTGCCTCCTGTTACTATTCAGTTAACATTTTGGAGATGTGGCTTGTGGTTTTGAATAGAGACCGCTCATTGGGCACTGGGTCAGACACAGGCCTTTCCATGGAGCTGCCAGCCCTTTGGAGTGCTTAGTACATGCTGGAGAGAGGCAGGCGTGGTACTCTCACATGGAGAACTCTAGGTAATGCAGGAAGGAAAGTCTGGGTTTGAAGAGGGAGATTTGTTTGTAGATAAGTTAAGCTGGATGTACCTGCAAGACAGCAGAGTGGCCGTGTCTAGTGATAATTTCAATATATGGTATTGGAGCATGAATCTGAGCTAGAGGTAGGGAATTAGGAGTAGCTGTGCAAATGCAGAGACAGTGTGTAGAATAAAAAGTGCATGGAAGATAGAAGAGTGACCAAAAGTCAGTATTCGGTGGGTCTTTATACTATGAGCTACTTCTTGGCAGCATTTAGCATTTGACCACACACTCCTTGAACCTCTCTTATCTTAGCATCTCTTGTATTATTCTCTCCTGGTTTTCCTACCACTTTAGCCTGATCATCCTTACAGATCTAAGTGCTGAGGATAGAGGAGAGAACAGGTTGAGTAAAGTTCTTGCCTTTATAGAGCTTATCTTCTAGTGAAGAAGGCAAGTATTTTATTAAATGAATGTTTTTAAAAAGATGACTATTTCAGGTAGTAGTAAATACCAAGAAGATAAAGCAAGGTAAAATGATAAAGTGGTTATAGGGGCTTATTGTTTTGGCTAGAATAATCAGGAAGAGCCTCTTTAAATAGGTAACATTTGAACCTTGACCTGATTGAATTGAGGAAGATATAAGGAGCTCTGGCATTACAGGAGAGGGGACAAGTGCAAGATTCTGAGACGGGAACGTTTTGTGTGTTCAAGGAACAGGGGTCAGAGTGAGGAAGAGGGAAAGAACATAGGAGATGAGGTCATAGAAGGGCAGTGCCCTGTATTAGAGGGCCTTGTTGCTTGCAGGCCACGGGAAGAAGTTCAGTTTTTATTCATTTGATGGGAAACCTTTGGCAGGTCTTGAACAGGAGTGAAGTGCTCTTAATTAAAGAGGCTGCTTTGGGGAGAATAGGCTGTTGTTGGAAACCAGAGTGGAGGCAGAGAAATCAGGAGGCAATAACAGTGATACAAGTGAGAAGTGGCAAATAGAAAACAAAGTGGTCAGATTACCAGTGATAGGTAAAGATAACAAGAATTGCTAACAGATTGGAGCAGGCTAACTCAAACGGAGGGTTTTGGCCCCAGCAACTAGGCAAATGGCAGTGCCCTTTATGTCACTAGGGAGGCTTGGGGACTGGAGAGTTGGGATGAGGAGCTCTGGTTTGTATGTGCACAGGCACCCATGACCTGGGCAAGGTTATTTTCAGTGGAGTGATAGTGACCGGGGCTGACTAAAGTGGGTTAAGGAGAGAATGGGAGATGAGAAGCCAGCATCAGGGCATTTACTGTGAGCAAAGTGAGAGGAGGAAGCATTCTAGGAGTTGTGAGGGGTTAGGATGGGAACAATGTAAACACATTCATATTGGGGAAAACCTCTGGCAGAGAGGGAGAAATTCTTCAAAAAGAGGTAATTCTGGGAACAGTGTTCTGCAGAAGTGGGATGGGATCGACTTCATTAATAGAGGAGTTAGCTTCAGCGAGAAGATGGAGAAATCTCAATCCCACTGACTCAGGAGGGCAAATGCCAAGTTTGCCGGTAAAGATCACAGGACGTTGAGAGATTGCCAGTGTTGTATAAGGAGCCTCTAATTATTCCCATAAAGTAGAGTTGAAGGAGGTTCATTCTTACGGTACCTGAGAGCTGAGTTTTGGAGAATGGGAGCAACATTGCATTAAGAACATATAATGTTCAATAACCATTTGTTTTTGAAAACACAGTTGAGTTTGGAGAGCATTGGCAAATCTAAGCTGTCAGTCTAATAACTTTCAGACAGTAAACACACTCTTTAAATTAGACTTCTTTCTTCTTATCAAATGGCATATATACTCTTCTGCAAAGCACTCTTTGAGATAACAACAAATCACAGCTTACCTCTATAATCTTGACTCAATTGTGAACGTCACCCAGTTCTTTATAGAATAGACATTTAATACATGGAAAAGAAATCATGAAATCTCACTACCTGGCAGGTGTAGAGGAGTCCCAGGGAGAGAGACACTGGCAGCTCTGTTACTGCCTTGAAAACAACAGAAGTGACTGAGCCTCAGATTATGTAAGACAGAGATGAAGTTCATGAAATGATAGTGGAGATGTGAGAATTCAGGGATATGAGAAGGACCCTCCCTTGTACGCATGTGTGTGCCTTAAAAAGGCCTGAAGTACAGAACACTTTGACACTTGTAAAGACCGCCCCCAGGGACACCGATTGTTCTGCCTGTCCTGCTGCACAGCAACCACTGGGAGGCTCTCTTGACCACCAGTTTTTATTTTCAGCTCGTGCCACAAAAGGACTAGTTACTGTGAAAAGAAGATATAAATGTGCTCAGTATTACCAGGGATTTACATATACAAGTATTATGTATAATCACCCTAAAACTCCCAGCCAGGTATGATACATTGCATGTGGTAGGCACTCCAGTATTTACTGAACCACCTGAATCTGCAGTGGGCCTGTGTGCTGCCCTTTCCAAGGGGGGAAGGAAAGAACACAATGCGTGTCTTCAGGATGTCCTTTGCTAAGATGGCCATTCATTCCTGTGACCAAAATGGGGCTGGAAATTCGCATGGGCAGAGTAAGCAACAGACATGTGATTGCAGTTGTGACCTGGCCTCTGACCTTGGCTGGCTAAGCAAAGTCTCTGTTAAACTTAAGAATAAAAAGCATGTCAGAAACAGATGAAGTCTGTCATTCCTAACAGTTCTTATCACAGCACTTAAACTGAACGAAAATCAAAGGCCAGTGCTCTACTTTTGCAGGTTTACTTAGAAAGGCTTTTAACTTATGCTGAAATCGACATTTGTCCAACCAACTGGAAAAGAATTGTTTTGGGAGCCATTCTTCTTGCCTCCAAGGTTTGGGATGATCAGGCTGTATGGAATGTGGACTACTGCCAGATCCTCAAGGACATTACAGTTGAGGACATGTGAGTTTCTAAGGTTTTGGTGGACTTTTCTAACCATTTCCAATACCTCATTTGCCCCCATTAAGTGTACATTTTAAGAAATATTTTTAAAGGTTACATTGTACAGAGAACTGAAATAGGCATAAAATTACATGCTACTTTCTATCCACCTTTGGTATAACAATTCATATTCCTTATCATTAATCGGTAGGTCTTAATGTGTTATTGTTGTAATAATTTGCTGGGTAATTTGCAGTGTATTTCTTCAGTGGTTTCGGCAAACATTTTACAAGCTCACGATCAGAACAATAGTATGGTAAGTATTTTCTTGGCTTTCTTAAAGCTGTCTACCAGGCCAGTCCATTTTTAAGGGGCATACACCAGATTGCCTTTGAAATAAATGTTTGGTCACTGTTAAGACATTAGGGTCTCTGGACTATTGAGGGGTTATAGCTTAAACCTGAGTCCTATGCGATATATTTCCTTTTGCTGGTCTTTCCCCCTTTTTATCTGAAGTTGTGTTGCTACAGAAACCAGGATAAAAAACTATAGCCACGTGTAAAGGTTTCAGATCACTATGTTCTCTCCTCCCCTTTTAAGAGAATGCATGTGTATTAAAAATGCCTGATGAGTTTGGAAGCTCCTACCTCTCAGGCATCACTGGGCATCACCCAGTGCCCATCCCATTTGAGTTCCCTCAGGCACTCAGCAACCCCAGCAGTGAGTTGGGCTGTAGGTTAACCATGAGGGTGCTGCTCCTCAGCACGCTGCCAGGGAAGTGAAACGCCAAGCTTAACGAGGGCTTGCAGTCTGGCCACCCTGGCTGCTGGGAAGGGCCCTGAGGCTGGTAGCCAAAGGGTATTTCCAGCAGACTCTCAAAAGTACCCACTTGACAGTGAAAATGTCTTTGTGGGTGACATTTAGGAAAATGTGAAAGAACACCTCTTGATTATATTGAACGGCATTGGAAGATCAAGATCATGGCAAGCGGTGGCAAGAGTTTGTTTTTGTTACCTTTGCCCATTACTGTAGATAAGGCTGTCATTCAGAATTACCTAAGTGCATATTCACAACTGAGGTGAGGATACTTGTGACTAAGAGAAGGGACCAGTGGTTGTGAGTTGCTGTCAAAGTGGCTTTTGGTGAAAATGCCCATTTGCTAATAGAGTAAACTGAGTCGTCATGGTGATATTGCTGGTAGCCATCTTAGCACACAGTGTGACAGCAAATGATGAATCTGAAACAAATGAAAGTACTTTTGGAAGTTGCAGAAGGTAAAATGACTTTGATCGCCACTGTCATAAGTCTTCAAACTGGTCCCTTGAAGGAAGAAAAATTTGTAATGAACACGAACCCTGCCATGATGGCAGCTGCAAGTTTCTTAAAACCTGCAACTAAGCTTGCTGGGGCTCTGGCTCTAGTTAGAACATCAGAGAACATGCAGGGAAATGTGTGGGTTTTCATAGCTTGAGCGCCAGGAGCAGTGGTGGCTGTGTCTAGCTACAGGAAGACTAGCTCTAAACAATGCTTTTTGTGTGTGAACAGAGAAACTCCAGGAGCTGTGTTTATAATAGGCTGCTTTTGTTTATGATCTTTGGAAATTGGAAAGCATTACCACATTGGTTTTGTCCCCCTGCTGTTGACTACTATTTGTAATGGTCTCATTTTGAGTCTAAATTGAAAAATTGGTGTTTATCAGCTTTTTCTTAAAACTTTCCAACATCTATCTATGTATCTTTTTAGAATATATTTCCTTTCAAAAGAATAAGTTAAACTGAGCAGCTGCTATTCAGAAAATTTGCTGTGCCTGTAAATGGTATGCTATTCAGCTTTCTAGCCATTGAAAAACCCAGAAGATGCATATTCTGTAGGCATAATGCTTTTCTTCAGTGACTAAACCTCTATTAATAGACATGTTAATCCCACGAAGTACTGTATTTCTACATAATTAAAATGTATTAGTGGAGAAAGTATAAAAGGGATAGTGAAGTGCATTTTATTTCTGTAGTAAATTAAGTCCTGATTAGCTAATTATCAAAACATCTGATTTACATTTCTATAGACTTATGGCCATATGAACAGGAAATTAATTTTGGAAGTAGGTTGTTGGGTTTAAAGTTCAACAAATGAGAAAACTTCATCTCTGTTCATATCCTGACTGTTCCCCATATAAGAGAATATCAGGCCTTTGTTGACCTATCCAATGGATAAAATATTAAAACTAAGAAGCCAAATACTGTATTTTGCCATGTATAATGCACACTTTTTTACCCAAATTTGTGAGGAAAAAATAAGGATGCACATTATATATGGGTAGTACTAATTCCATATATATATAAATATTTTTTATTCTTTTATTCGTCCTTATGAGTTAAAAGTGTAACTCTGGAAATGAATAACTATCTATGTATGCAAAATAATACCCTGGAATACAATAACTGGTTTTGTTGAATTTACGATGAACTTGGAATGACGATAAGTTCTTAGCCATCTATGATGCATAAATATCGTAAATTTGTTACCGGTACGTAAAATTACTTGTACCTTGTATCTGTTCTTGTGTTTTGTAATTATTTGTTACATAAAATTTCTTGTACCATAATACGTTAAAAAATAAATGCTAAAAATTCCTTTATAATACAGAAAATGAGTACCTAAATGTAAACAAATAAAAATTTGAATTAAAAAATTAAAACAGATTTTTTTCCCTGAAAGTTTGGGCCCAAAACATGGGTGTGCATTATACACGGGGGCGCGTTATACACGGCAAAGTATGGTATGTTACAAAGTAAGCCCCCCTCTCTCATGTTTGTTGGGTATTTATCATTTCTACATAATTAACTTTGTAAAGGGATTACTATGAAAGCAGTATGATTTACTCTGATTTTATACTTATCGACTTAAACACTTGGCAAGTGACGGCAGTATGGTCACATAGCATAGGACTGCTCCCTATATTTCCCTTTCTCACTTCACTGAACTTGCCCCCTGTGGGTGTGTCCCATTCTGTTCTGGGAGGGGCAGTGGGTGCTGAGCATCTTGGGGTCACATTTCCACTCGGGACAAACACTGTTTGAGTCTGAGTCCAGTGCTCTGTCGGGTTTAGCCCAGCCAAGACAGCTGTCTTTAATCTTTCTGCCTTCCAAAGTTTAAAAATTGCCTACTGTCTTGTCAGTGACAGTTTCTCACTCCAGTTAAGATTAAGGTGAGTAGAAACTTGCATTATGCCCTTTGACATTAGCCCGATGCACTAGGGCAGGGGGAGGGGTTCCCTTTCCTATCAAATGTAGCTTATTTATTTATTTGAGGTGAATCCTTGTTGCCTCAAGAGTTTTTTCCCCCTCAGAGATAATAGCAGTGGCTCTCCATGGATCCATTTGTTGCCGTGGTGATGTGCCCACTCCTTTTGTTGATGCGCCTCTACTTTAATAAAGCCCCTTCCTGTTATCTGCCGGGTGAAAATGTCTGCAAGTTCTTCAGAGCTAATAAACAGCATACATCATTCCTTTCATCTGATCACTATTAGTGGGGCCTTGTGAGTGAGCGTGGAGCATGAATTGTACAGCTGCACTAATGGAACTCTGAAGAAGGAGCCCCCGAGTCAGCAACACAAGTATATAAGAGGGCCATAACCTCTTCCCCTCGTCCCAGACGCAAAGTGCTGGGATGCAGAAAGGACCACGATAGCTGTACCTTGCTTGAACATTAGTGTGTCAATCCAGCTGGGTAGCCTTTGTTTGTTTCCAAACAAAATTTAGAGCCATCTAATAGCTCAGAATGATATTTTTGAAGATAGCCCAGTTGACTAAAATTGTCGTGTATTGGTTTTGTCTCCTCCTTCCCCAGGAATGAGATGGAGAGGCATTTTTTGGAGCTACTTCAGTTTAATATTAATGTTCCTGCCAGTGTTTATGCCAAATACTACTTTGACCTTCGCTCCTTGGCAGATGACAATGACGTGATTTTTATGTTTGCGCCTCTTAATAAAGAAAGAGCACAAAACCTAGAGGTAAGGCTGGGGAATCACTAAGTGGGGCTTTTTGTTAGTCACCAAAGCCAACATCTGTGGATAAATCATATTAAGTGTAGTGATTAGGAAAATGGAAAGCTTTTTAAATCACTACTTTGAAGAGCTTATTAACCCTTTCGTATCATATTTCTAGTGTCTTTCCTGGTGTCTGTCCTGTGACCATAACTCAGAATATTTTAAATCAAATTTAATCTGTTCTTAATGGTTTTCCATTTGAACCTGTACCCTTCCTTACAACCAAACATAAATAATTTCTTATGATTGTGTCACTAATCATCTCTATACACATAATCTACTTACCACTCTCAGCTGTCTCACTCAGTTTGCAGATCCGTGTCTGTTTTCTGTATATATCACAGTTCAGTTCCATGAGTTTATTAGACAAAAGCATTAGTGGCTAACCTGAGAGACCTATGCTGAGAATGTATAATATGTGTTTCAAATACTGGGTGAGAGTACATGGGGTTTTGAATGGAAATGGTAACATACATGGGACAAAGTAATATTTATGGCTTATGGTTTTTGATGAGTATACAGCAAAATTATTCACAACTGAAATGGACACATTTGAAGTGGACACTGTCTGTGGTACCTTGGTGGTATGTTTCCTACCATAATTAACGTGGAAGTGGAATAGCTCCTAATGGTGCTTCAGTCCTTAGACCTTTCCCACCTTCCATTCAAGCCCAGCACACGCCTGCCTCATTAAAATGTACTCCGAGTAGACAATAACTAATGAAGACTGGATAGAATGTGAATAGCTCAGTAAACATTGATTTTGCCCAAGTTGTGTTCATTATGTTTAAGGAACAAGTGTACAGGTAATAGACGATGTTGCTGTTAGAAGCCTGTCAGAATGCCTTTGGCATCTTTGGGAACCCACTTTTTAAATAATTCTAAGTTCCCCTTTGCTCTGGAAATCTAATCAGAACTCCTAAAGGATCTATCTACCTTAGTGAATTAGCAGGAAACAGCACCCCCAGAACCTGGCAGTGTAGGCCTCAGCTCTGCAGAGTAGCAGTAAGTCGAACTGTCTACAGTAGTGTGGATGTGTGGCTCACCAATGATGCTTTCTTTTTTTTTTAAAGGTTGGAAACTTTTTTTTTTTAATTGTATCTGTGGTTCTATTTGATTGCCTTTCCTAGGCCATTTCTAGATTGTGTGATGACAACGACTACAAAGACATATGTAGAGCTGCTATGAGAAGGTCTTTCAGCGCAGATAACGTCATTGGCATTCAGCGCTCTAATGCCATCATCTCTTAAGGGAAAAATGAGAGGTGGTAACATCAAGAGCCTCTCATCTACAAGGACTGGAGAAATATCACCTCTCCTCAAAAACCAGCAAAGGTAGTATTTTCACCTAAAAGACCAAGACATCAAATTAAAAAAACTCAAGGACAGCAAGGATTGTGCTCATAGGAAAGAATGGGACCTTGTCAATGCAACACTCTGTCCTTTTTAATGTAAACATAGTTTAAAAACCACTCCAAAGCAAAAGCTCCCAACCCACAGATATTTGCTTACAATGTAGGCTGATAGCTGTGAACTAAGTGAGGTTTTTTAAGTGAAGTTTAAATTTTTTTAGACTTTAAAGACACTAACTATATAACTTTGATGCCTTTGCTATTTTTTTGTCTCTCTCCCCTCCACCCTCTCCCCACATATTGCTGCATATTCCTTTAGCATCAATGCAGTATTAATTGCCATTAAAACATGGGACTCCTAACAACTCCTAAAGCCACTTAGGAACAGACTAGCACTGTTAGGTATTGAAAGGTTCTTCTCCCGACTACATCATTGAAGCTGCTAGTCATTATTGGCAATCAGTGTAAACCAAAAAGCTGCTGAATAACACTTGTCATTCACATTCTTTGCAAGCACTACTTATTAGCATATTAGCATGTTTGGGATAATAAGAGAAAGTATCAGTCATTGATTATCTGCTTCCATTGGGTTCACGCTGCATAGCTTACAAACTGTAATGGTGCTTCTCATTTTCTGATGATTTGCCTTTGTTAAATAAATGTATCAAAACATATTTTTGTAATTCCAACCAACATGGTGGTCCATTGATAACAAGCAGGTAGTGAAATAGGTGTCCCACAAGTCAGTGCAGTTTTAAGCTTTGACCCACCAGGGCACTGATGCAGAAATATAAATGCTAGACTTACAAAACATCATTTGAAAGTTTAATTAAATTTCTCTTAAACTTAATTTAGTTTTGTAAATTTTAAGTATTAAGCTTTTAATCTTACAGTGGCTGAAACAAAAAATTTTAAATAATCTTTTTTGATTCAGTCAATGTGTTAATATTAAGCTTTTAAATTTCTTTGTTTCAGCCTATATAAGATTAAAAGCTTAATATTAAAATTTACAAAATTAAATAAGTTTAAGAGAACCTCAATTAAACTTTCAAATGATGTTTTGTAAGTCTGTAGCATTTACACTTCTACAAGTATCAGAGTTTAAAATTGTACTGAACCTTTATGGTGATACTTTGTATCTTGATAGAAATGCCCTCTTTTAAAAATAGTTCTTTACAGGGCTGTGCTATATACCTGCTTTGATCACCTCAGTTTCTTTTTTCTAGATTTGGTAAAGGATTATGAAGAGCAGTGTTAATTCACATATAATAAATTGAAAGGAATTGGACCCCAATAGTAGTGATATGAAAGTGGGTGATATGATAAACAGCTTTTCTATCCTACATGTTAATCAGGCTGTAGGTGTCCCATTTAAGTCTTGTTATTTAAGAGGAAACACACAAAATTTAGGAACCCTTACCTCAGGCTTTAAAGGGCAGGGAGTTAAATAATCTTGGGAGATTAGTAAAATGTCACCTAAACTTGAAATATTTTTAAAAATTAATGCTCTCAACTATGTGAACTCTTTCTCCTACCTTCTGAAATGTATTCCTGAAATTCTGCCTATAACAAAGCATTTCTGGGCCAAGGAATACTTTCAACATTGCAAGGCTTCATATTGTATTGAAGGTTCCATCATTTTTAAAGGACAGAAATATAAATAATGGTATATAAAATATTACAATCTACCACCTCAGAAAACATTGTTTATGGAGTTTGGAGCTTGGAGATTCAAGTATCGATTGCAGTTTTATTTTGAAAAGAATGCTAAACTTATGTGGTTTTTCTTCCTCATGTTTATATTAAAAGCTATTTTAATTAAAATATGGCTAGTGTGTTTGTAACACTTCTATTCACAAAGCATTATGTCTCTGCCTAACTTACAAGTTTTTAATCAGCTCTGATAGTCTTAAAGCGTTTTTAAAATGACCATAAGTTAGTTGGTTTGACCCTTGCCTCTAGTTAAGATGTAGTCCTGTCTTTAGCTTATGCTCTTTTCAACCTAAAGATAATTTATTACACTTAAAACGATTGGCCACAGTACTCAGTGGCATGGTGCATTAGATTATTGTACCAGGAGGGAAAAGCACATTGGAAGATAAAATTAGGTAAAACATACCAGAGAGAAAGCAATTATAGGAATACTGTAGGTCAGAGTATGAGTAATTTGAGGATTTTAAGCAGTTAAACAGGTCACAAAATGGAAGAACAGGAACTGTTGTTGGAAAAGTCATGAGGCATTTTTGCAATGAAAAACAGAAAAAAATACATCATGACTTTTCTAACAACCCAATACAATAGAATTGTTGTTGCTATAAAGAGGGTGACTTTAAACAAGCCACATAATTTGACTTTAAAATTCTATTTTCAGACTTACATTTCAGTTAGAAATTTACCAAATTCTCTAAGATTACACTAAGACCCTAGCCACTCAGCTTGAGCAATACTCAGTAAATCTGATAGTTTTGTTGTATTTTCATGTTCCTTATTTCAAAGCTTATCACTTGCTCTTGATACACTGCTGATTAGGATAAATGATCTGATTTAGTAAATTAAAAAAAAATCACAAATCACTAAGATAGTTTGCACCCATAGTAATATGTTAGTTACTAAGCAGAATGCCGACATGGGTGGGTGGTCAAAGGTTCAAAATCAGTTTGGAGAAAGGACATTGGACATGACTGGTTTCCAGAACAAGTTGGTGGAATAAGTAGAATAAAAAAAATCGTTCTTTCCCCTTTGGCTTTAATTCTAGAAGGCAATAAGGCCATTTTGATAATTGGGAAATTGAGTCAACTTAGGGCAAAAATATAAACATCAATAAACACAAGTAGATTCTCTGAAATGTTATGGGGTTTGGAAACTAGTTACTAGTCGGATGGTAAATGTGGTTTCCTCAGAGCTTTACACCTGGAAGGAGAGTAATAAGACTAAAAGTGTACCTGACTACTTCGACTCAAATTTAGTTTCATTTAGTTTTTTTTTTTTTTTCCTTTTGGAATACTTCAATGAAATTTTAACTGGTCTATTGTGAACTGAACTTTTGAAAGTCTTCATTACAAGGAGAAACAAAAGGTCTGAAATACGTTTGAACCAAATGAAATGATTTTTGTATGTCAGAAGTGGTTGCCTCTCAGCAATTCCATATGATTCATCCTAAGACGACAGCCTAGGGCCCAATGTTTCTGCTTAAAGAGAAATTTCCTCTACGCAGTATCAGCTTCCTGCCGGCCCTTTCTTTCACGTTTACTCGTAATGTACCCCGTGTGCCCACACATTATTGAAATCCAGCAGCACTGAATCTTGGTTTTGTGACAGTTTATGGTTCATTTCTTGGTTTAGTTTTCCTATGTCTATAAATACACTATTCCTTGATTTAAAAAAAAAATGCCAAAGCCAGTATTTACCAGAAAAGAATTCACTCTGTATTCAGGTTAGCTGTTTTGGGAAATGTTTAGCTACAGGCGTGTAGGTTAGCTAAAACCTTTCATCACCCGAGCTTTCTCCCTAACCACATCTAGAATGACTAGACTGCTCCCTCACCCAGAAGCTGCGTTCTCGAGTACAGAGCTACTTGGAAAAGCACTTGACTGCTGGCAGAGAAATCTCCCAGGGAAGTGTTAGTTTCGATGCAGAATCTGTAGCTTATACCCAACATCTCTCAACAAGGATTAGATCACCTACAGTCTTAAGTTAGCCACTTACAGACCTGGTCCTGACGCTGTGCCAGCCAGCAATACAAAGATGTTGGCGCCCTTCAGCAAAGCCTGTGCCCTCGTGCACAAGCGCACTCTGGTTTCTGAGGCCATTTCCACTCAAATATTTCAACTGGGTTTGGAAGGTAAGAGAACATGTAATGTGAAATTTTGAAAATACCAGTTTGTGGTTTAGGATCTCTAGGGTGCAGAAAGAACTAGGAAAGTGAAATAGTTTAGAAATTAAGAGGAATCCAGAGTCAAATGAAAAAAAGGTTAACAATATTTAAAAATAGGAACAGGTCAGGCAATTATTTTAACTGCTGTGAAGGGAGCTAAATCATTTGAATGCTTAGAGAAATTCAGTGATTAGCATCAGAAGATATCAATAGTATTTATTTCAAGACCTCATGATTCTGCTAGCATTTTCTTAAACGGGTCAGCAAACAGCGGCTCGCGAGCCACATGCGACTCTTTGGGTGCGTTCTGTCTCAAAAGTTTGCCAACCCCTGGAAGAGCCAATCCTGTCCCTCACAACAATTTAAAATTTGTTTGAGAGCCATAAATATATTTTTACATAATCACCATTATGTGAATAATATCCTTCAAAAATTTTATAAATGAAACTATGTTTTATTTTCATTTTCATTTTCTATTTTACTTCAGAGCCTGCAGCTCGCGAGCCGCAGTTTGCTGACCCCTGGCGGCTCTTCCATCTCAAAAGTTTGCCCACCTGTTTTTAAACCATCTATTACTTCATCTTACCCTTCTTGATTCTACTAACCTTTACTTTTAACCCCCAGCTGGTGGCCCCTCTATCGCCTCACTGTGGGAGATGACTCTTCCAAAGGCAGAGCTTCAGTGTGTGATCACCTCGAATGCCCTTTAGGGCTGTCCCTCAAGGTCACCTAGCCTTCACCTTTTGCTAGTGTGCAGTGGGCCAGCGCTTGATGTTGGTGACTATTATGACCCACTTTCAAAGCATTTTCCCAGGTTCCAGGAAATACAGGTTTCATATGGCTCACAGGTTAACCAGCCCCGTATAATCCCCTTCATCCTCTCAGAGCCCTCCTAAGCCCTGTAATGTTCCCCAAAGCCGCTGTCCCAACTTCCTGCACTTGCTGACTCCCCTGACCTGCTCACACCCATAGATGTATCTCTTTAGGCAGCCACCCCCACATTGCAAACCCCAAAACGCATTCCATCTAGCCTTCGGGATTCATATCTTGCTTCTGGTAAGCCCTCTCATCTCATGGATAGGATTCCTTCCCAGCTCTAAAATCAGCCCCCCACCACCTTACTCCCTTCTGACTCAGAACTGCACTCATCTCCCTTACATGGGGATGCGACAGTTGGACTTTGCTCAGTCCTTTACATGTCCTAGTGTTTTTGAAGATGCCCCAGACCACCTGCCTCTCATCAGCTGAAAGTGCCCATGAAAAATGAAGCTTGTCTAAACGTAGTGTAGAATCCTGGACTGTGTCCTGGAACAAAGAACAGTAGAGGAAAATCTGGTGAAGTCTGGAGTTAATAGTAACGTACCAATGTTGACTTGCTAGTTTTGCAAATATACTATGACTATGTTAACACTAGGAAAAAAATGGGTAAGGAAGGGGTATACTCGGGTCAGCAAACTGCGGCTCGCGAGCCACGTGTGGCTCTTTGGGTACGTACATGTGGCTCTCAAGTAAAATTGAAAATGAAAATAAAACTATCGCAGTTTCGTTTATAAAATTTTTAAAGGATATTAGTCACATAATGGTGATTTCATTTGTTTTATAGTTCTCGCAGAACTTCGAGGGACAGGGTTGGCTCTTCCATCTCAAAAGTTTGCCGGCCCCTGGGTATATAGGAATTCTGAATTATTCTTGCAACTTTTCTGTAAACGTAAAGAAATAAAAAGAAAAGAAAATAGCATGCAGCAGCAGTTTCTTGGACCCCAGACCTACTGAATCTCACTTCCTGGAGCTGAAGCCTAGGAATCTACATTAACAGCCCCAGATGATTCTTACTCAGACTCAAATTTGAATATCTAGTCTTTTCATTCCTTTTCCAGTCCATGCCTGAACAGCTGCTTCCTCCATGCTTTATTTACCTTAAACTTACCTTAGCCTGATTTAATCTTTTAGGTGCTCTGAACCCAAAGAAACAAGTACTATTATTATCCCCCTTTCACAGATGAAAAAACTGAAGTACTAACAGGTTAAGTAACGCAGACAGGATCACACAGCCCTTAAATGGTGGAGCGGGGATCTGAATCCCTCGTCAGTCTAGAGCCCAAGTCTATGCTCATAAAACCACTGCATCGCAATCATGTTTCCACCTGTGACAAACTAAAAGAGCTCTGTAATTAAATAACTAAAAGAACCATTGTTACCAACAGTACTCTGGGCCCACCTATTTCTCCAGCCTTCTAAGTGCTGTTCAACAGTCCCTTTGCTCCAGCTTGTGAGCTGGCCCTTTGCTCCCTTTCCCACTAAAGGCAAATGAGCCATGAGAAAGCACTGGGAATATGTGCCCACTAGAGTCCGGTGCAGGTAAGGTACAGCCACTCTTCCGCCAGGATCCAGCTCACCTAGCGTAGTGTCTATTCTCCCAATTGCCCTAATTTAGGAAGCAATTCTAATCATGTTCCTAGCACTCACTTTGACAATGAATTACATAGTCTCACATTGTAATTCACCTATTATTGGGTTTGTCTTATCTCCCCCAAACAACATTGTAAGCTACTAATTACTGATCTTCTCCCACATACTCATGCCTCAGAGCACTGCTGGAGAACACGCATCCCAGGCATTCGCATGATGTCATGGCTGGTAGACTGGTTGCTAATCTGCATTTTGCCAGGAGGCAACGCTGACAATAGTATCTCAGGCTTACTAACCCTCTGTCCAGATATCAGGGAGGTGGCCAACTCTAAATCAATTTAGAGCCTATCTGGACTCCCTGACTTGTACTTACAGCTTAATATCAAGTTGTGGATTTAACTGGTGAATGATAAACAGTTTTGAGAGTGCCTACTCCCCAACTAGACACCCAGGACAACAGCACCAACATCTATTCAGATAGGTTCGGTACAGAGTATAGATGGAGGGTTGGTAAAACAGAACACCGTCTCAGGCTGTGTCTCTGTTCTCATGTGTATTTCCCTTCATTTCTTCAAGTGAATCATGAAAACAGTAACAGGATCAGCAGAAGAAACCTATGAAGTCTATTCAAGTAAAACAAGTGTTCATTTCATCTGTTTCTGATGATTGGAATTTGCTTGATTTTCTTATTAATAAAAACATCACAATTTACATTAAGTACATTACATAAGTCTGATTATGAAGTTAGAATCCACATATCTCCAGATACTCTCAGAAGGCAGTGTCTCCATAAAAGCATGAGGAGAAAAAGACGTGTACAACATCTTTTTATTTTCTTTACCTTGCTTTAATGCACTTTAAAATTTATCTACATGAATTGGGAACAAAGAAACAAAAATAGACATTTCTTTGTTTTTCATAAATAACTACTCTCCATATTTGATAAAAATTTCAAACCATCATTTCACCTCCCACAAATATAATACATACAAAATTTTTCTGAAATAATAAGGTCAGCAAATTAAGGACCATGAGACTAACCATAACCACATACACAGCTGTTCTACTGACTTCCAGGAACAAAACAAACTTCTCAAGATGCTCTGGGTTTCCATTTGTTAGTGCTATAGATTCAGAATTATAATCATCTGCCAGTAATAATTTATAGATTCAAGTTGATTGTCTACAAATAAAATAACCGCTGGCTCAGATGTGTGAGTTCTGGGTTTGACATGACAGTGAAGATACTGCATGGGATAGGCACTATACACATGTGGAAATCATACAAAGTTCTGAATGCCCTGGGTTCAAACTACTGACTCGGCAAGTGCCTCATTTGGCTCAGTAATCAATTCACCTGCACCAAACCCGTATCAAGTCACTAAATTTCATATATATATATATATATATATATAGGTATATATATATAAAATATATATATTATGTATATACACATCCACAACACAAACATACTATACATAGTTTGTAACAACATGAAGTAATATTGTCTTAAAATGATATACTACAGACAGTATCCTGGCTGAAATAAATCCTGTAATTGTCATCAAGCTGCAGGAAGCTTTGTGAGTTCTGAGTCAGGTTACTTAGGGACTTACATCCTGCCTACCCCTCACCCTGCTTTCATGTCTTGGTAGCTTTTTCCTTCAGAACCACCCTCCCCAGTTCAGGCATACTTCGTTCCCAGGATCACTTGATTGGACTTGGGAGACCAGAAAGGGCCTGCAGAGGGAGCAGGGCCATTCTCAGCCACTGTCCCTCACACCAGCCTAGATTTGTGATGTGCTCTGTCCTGTATGTCACAGTTGATGTTAGAGAGCTGTTATTCAAAGCTTTGTCCCTCCGACCCCCCTTGGTCTTTCTGTAGAGCACAAAAGCGAATGAAGCCTCTTTAGCAGGGGTAGCAGTTCATTAAAATATACAACTACATTTCCTAGCTCTGGGGGTCCCATTCTGTACTAGAGAGTGCAGGTCACAGATGCTGCTATTAAGGTTTGGTGTGGGATCCATGAGGTTTGCTCCTGGCAGCCGGTGTCAGAATTAGTGCAGCCCTGGCCCAGGAGGAAACAGCATAATGAATACCAACTTGGAAACAGTGCTGTCGGCACATTATTTAAAGCCTGTACATGAGCACGGTTACAGACAACACACACACACACACACACACACACACACACACACACACACACTGGTCATGTGAAAAATATGACAAAGGTTTGCAAGGATAAACCAATAAGGCACCAAGAAAAATTATTTTCAGTCAATTTAGACAACTTCAAAATGTGAAGAGGCAAATCATATAAATTAAAAAGTCTTCCTAAGGTCATGTCAGCTGATTCACTGAGAAGTCACATTACTTAGCCAACCTTCTAAACACTCACCCCCTAATCTATGAAGTAAGACATTGCTTAAAATCGAACTGTGAAAGGAACAGTCTGGAGGCTGCACCCGTGAGACTAAACTGAGCCCTGAATGCTCTCCAGCTTCACAAAGCTGGCTGTGAAAAAGTTGCTAAATCACCCCACAACCTTTAATTTTATAATTGTTTTCATGTGTATGTATTGTTTGCATAATAAAAGTGCAAATCAGGGGGGAACCAGTGTGTGGGGATGGAAATAGGGGGTGACCATAAATAGGCGTAGCTTCTCTCCCCTGGGTAGGGGGCGGGGTGGTGAATATTAGTAAGACCAGGGAAGCAGGTGGACTTTATCTTTGAGGGAAAGGAGAGGGAGAGCAGGGGTGAGAACACAGACTGAAAACAAAGCCAGCTCTAAAAGGAGACCCCAAAAACCATCACTTATATTGCCTCTCCTTGGCGTGGTAAACTTGAACTGTCTTATTTTTTAAAGTAAACTGGTTGTTCTTTGTAGCTTTCACATGTTGCCAAAAATGAAAAATTAATGTTTTTTTAATGAAGACTTAAGTCACTTTCATCCACTCATCCCACGACTTTTAGATATACTGTACCATTTCTAGATTCCTCCACCCAGAAAAAGACGGAAGGGGGACAAATCCATATCAGGCACAATTACTGAAGGCAGCAGAACAATCTAGGTACATTCTGGGAAGACGTACTGAGTGAGGGGAAAGGTCAAGGTGATCTAAAGACCCTCATTTGAAAAACAGAAGATTTGGCCCTCAGACAGGGGAACTATCTCAAGGTTCTAAGCAGCAGCTTCTGAATAAGCAGGGGAATCAGATGTGCCAAGAGTTCTCTAGGCCATGTGTGCTAGGTTTTGTCGACTCCACTGAAGTTTCAATTCTGATTCAGAGGATGAGTGTTAAGAGCAGTACATTTTTATAACTGTGAACAGCTTCTGAGAGTCCTTAAAACTATAATACCAAGCTTCTCCCCACTGCAGTGTTTAAATTCACTATGGGAACTGTGTGTGCATTTGTTTACTTAATATCCACAAAGTAAAAACTGACCTGGGCTTAAATCTTAACTTTTCCACTTTGGTATAAATGAAGCACAAATGCCTAGACATTTTCCTAGGGAGGCATTCTCAAATTTTAATTGCTTTTCCCATTTTGGCTTTCTGAATTTAGTCCCCACTCAACACTGGTCATTGGTATTTTTGCTGGCCATAGCACTGTCACCCCCTTCCCCAGTAATGGCCTCACACTCTTCATGAATGAATGGTTAAACAGATTAGGAAAGCAAACACAATTTTCTAATAGTAAAGAAATGTGTGTGTGTGTGTGTGTGTGTGTGTGTTTCTCAATATATAAGCTTTCATATATAAATGAAGGAATAGTTAAGCAGATTAGGAAAGCAAACAGAATTTTCTAACAGCGAAGTGTGTGTGTGTGCTCATCAATATATAAGCTTCCTCAGAAAAAGGAAAAGAAAAATATACTGAGATGGGGGTGGGGGAAACAGCTTTCCTCCTGCTATAGCCGTTAACTGATCCATATTTGATCCATATTTTAAAAGTTTATGCAAGTGTGTTACAGGTCTCATTTATGTTTTCCGAGACTGCAAGGAGCAATGTCTTGCTGCTTTTGGAATATCTGGCTGTACACTAGTCCAAAGTCCAGGGACATTTATTTTCTCTCCTGGCTGCCAATGTTTGTTCACAGGTAGCCAGCCTTCCTCCCCCAGTTCAAGCACCTCATTCAAGGGTGGGTGTGGTTTCTAATCACAGCTCTCCAGGAGAGGAGGAATAAGAAAAGCAAAAAGACTGTTTAACATGATAAAGGAGGTGGGATGGGGGGTGGAGCGGGTAAATGTTGGAAATTTACTTAATTACTGGAGTTATATCCATTTTAGTCCTGCAATCTACAAAGCAGCCCTCTTTAGCAACTATCACTAAGTACTTCCAGAAGAAAGGAGTGGTTTTACTTTTACCAAAATTATAACACAAGTTGTTTTGTAAAAAATAAAAAATAAAAAAAACCGGGATCACTGAAGCCTATTTAGTACCACCCACGCCTCTGGCACAGAGCTGCCATCTTATCTAGAATTCAAGCTTAGCCAATTTCCATCCCTTAGGTCCTCACTACTCCGAACATCTATACCGGGCACTACGCTAACTCGAACGTATTCAAAATGCTGGCGCTGTTAAGAATGAGGGTGATTACAAGTACCACAGAAAAGAAAGCAACGCTTGCTAAATAAAGCTAGAAGGAACACAAAATCGCTCACCACTCCCTAACCTTGTCCCTGTGGGGAGGTCCTACCCACATTATGCTCCCCCTCCCCGGTATGACTTGGAGTTCCCCCTCACTTAGGACTAGAAGCAGTGGAAGGAGAGACAAACTGAAAAAACACAGCTGTCAACTTCCCAGTCACAGCAATCCAAACTTTCACTGTTCACATTTTTTTTTAAAGACACAAGTATAGGAAATATATTTTCCAATTCAGAACACAGTTCAAAGAAACCTGAACCACGTGGAACTTCATTATAATGCCAACCTTAGGATTGTAAAGCCCCCAAAAGCAAAGGTAAATTGTGTTGCCAAAATGCAACAAAGTTAAAAATTACGAAAAAGACATATAAATTAAAAAAACAGGGTTCCCCTAAAGGCAGCAAGAAACACAAAACAATACACGTGAGCTGAGCCCCTTTGAGAAGGGGCCTTTTCCCCTCTCTCCAAGTTGCCCCAGGAGGGGGCATCAGCACCATGAAGGTAAACGGAAGTGACCTTGGCAAGGCTACCAAACAAAACCACCCCCCTCCCTCACTCCCGGGGCCTCCTACACGTGCGACAGGGACACCTGCTTGTGGTAGGTAGCTGCGGCAGGGCCCGGCGGCCCAGTCCTGCCCGTGAGCGCTGCGCTCGCCTCGGCATAGTCCCCAGCGGCCGTGGCGCCGCCGCTCTTGTGGCCCCGTCGCCGGCGGCAGCAGCAGCGGCTAGTGAAGCGCCGCCAGGACTCCACAGTCTTGCCGGACCAAATCCAGACGCCCGACGTGATGCCCACCACGAGGCACATGAAGTACTTGAGCATGAGGACCCAGTACTCGGGCTTGGCGCGGGGCTGGCCGGCGTCGGAGCCCGGGCACGCGCAGGTGAGCGCAGCCTCCCAGCTCTCCCGGTAGTGCTGCTCGTACAGGTAGCAGGCCACCACGATGCTGGCCGGTACCGTGTAGAGCAGCGTGAAGACGCCGATGCGGATCATGAGTTTCTCCAGCTTGTCTGTCTTGGTGCCGCCCTGCTTGATGACGCTGCGGATGCGGAACAGCGACACGAAGCCCGCCAGGAGGAAGAGCGTGCCCACCAGCAGGTAGAGCACCAGAGGGCCCAGCACGAAGCCGCGCAGGGAGTTTAGGTTCTGGTTGCCCACGTAGCAGATGCCAGCCACCGGGTCCCCATCCACGGAGCTCAGTGCCAGAGCAGTGATTGACTTGACGCTGGGGATGAGCCACGCGGCCAAGTGGAAGTACTGGGCATAGCCCGCGATGGCCTCGTTGCCCCACTTCATGCCGGCTGCCAAGAACCAGGTGAGCGACAGGATGACCCACCAGATGGAGCTGGCCATGCCGAAGAAGTAGACCAGCAGGAAGACAACAGTGCACAGCGCTGGGCCTGTCGTCTCGTAGTGAATGTGGCTGTGCTCGCGGCTGCAGGCGACGCTGGCATGGCCCACGACCAGGCGCACCAGGAAGCCCAGCGACACGCACAAGTAGCAGGCTGAAAGGAAGATGATGGGGCGCTCAGGGTAGCGGAAGCGTTCCATGTCTATGAGGAAGGTGGCCACGGTGGTGGAGGTGGAGATGAAGCACAACACAGACCACAGGCCAATCCAAAAGGTGGCGAACGTGCGCTCGTCGGGGCTGAACGAGGGCTGGTAGCAGGGAACCGCGCAGTTGGGTACCTGGCCCGTCCGCACCTTGTTGTAGAGCGGGTGCGACTCTTTCAGGATGGGCACGAAGGGTTCACGGCACTTGCACACCGATGGGCCCCCGGTGGCGCACTCGCCCCCCGAGGCCGGCGCTCCTGCAGGGTTTGGGAGGGTGGGCTTGGCGGGGAAGGGCCTTGGGGGCGCCGTGGTGGCCTCGCTGCGGTTGTAATCCATGCACAAGACCTCAGCGTCGCGGCCCAGGACAGGGAGGCGGTCGCAGCTCATGCGCTCGGGCCAGGCAAAGCCGTACTGGCGCATGAGCGGGGAGCAGCCGGCCTTGGCGCGCTCGCACACTGAGCGGCAGGGGGGCAGGGGCTTGTGATAGTCGGGTAGGCAGATGGGCGTGTACATAGAGCACAGGAAGAAGCGCAGGTCCGGAGAGCAGTGGATCTCCACCAGCGGCCAGAACTGGTGCACCTCCAGGCCCGCCTCGTCCTGCGTGTCGTGGTTGAACTGGTTGGGCATGTGCGTCAGGTTGTAGCCGATGCCGCGGCACATGGGTACCGTGATTTCCTGGCACACCGGGGCCTTGGAGGCGGCCGCCGCCCGGCCTACCAGCTGCGCCAGGAGTAGCAGCAGCAGCGAGGGCGGCGCGGTCGGGTCAGGCCGAGCCATAGCCCCCTCCCTCCCCTCGCCTCCCGCAGCCCGCGCGGGGCCAAAGCAGGCAGCGGGGAACCGGGCCGGGGCTTCCCTCTCCGCCGACTTGTGTGTGGTGCCGGGGCTGGCAACCTGTTGGTTTCTTTTTCTCTTCCAGAAATCCGCCCAAAGATAAACTGTTTCGGGAAGGCGCTGCCTCCCTTCGCAGGCAGCGCTCAGCTCTTTGCCGGATAGGACTGAGGAGGGGCTGCTAGGGCTCCGATTCCAGGGAAAGTACTCTTTAAACAAGAAGCTGGGGGAGAAGAAAAATTGTAACCACTCCCAATCAGAGGGGCGTCAACAGCTTAGCCCCCGCAAGCGGTCTCCAAATTTGTAGATTAACTTCTCTCCCCTCCACCTCCTGAAACCAAATTACTGACTCCCCACCCCCGCCTCCCTTTCCGTTGGGCCCTCCAGGCTGGACCCAGGGGTCAGAGAGCTCAGCCTCCCCCCGACCCCCATAAAAGGGCAGAGCCAGAGGGGAGAAGGGAAGGCGCGGGCTCTCACCTCCGCGGATCCCGAGAGAAGCAGATAGTCCGCAGCCAGCCTGGGTCCTCTGTCCCTGGGACACTGCTCAGAAACGCAACTCAGAGCCAAGCTGGCACCGGGAAAGTTTGGCGATAGACTGGGTATCCAAGGCGGCGGCACATGGCAGCAGGTGGGGGCGTCTCAGAGAGGGGGTCGCCCCCTGAGCGCAGTCGCCGCACGCGGGTCACTCTCCCTCTCCTCCTCCGAGCCCCCCCGCATGATACGGGCGGGGCAGGGCAGCGGCAGGCCGTGCGTTGCACCAGGGTCCGGGAGCCGGACGAAGGGCGAGCGCGCCTGCAGCACCTAGGCGAGAGGAAGGCGGTGTGCGGCGGCAGAGGGACTCCGCCGCCTCACAGCATGGTGAACAGCCGGCGCTGGCCCCGCGGGGACTGCATGGTGCGCGCCCGCCGCCGCTCGCCTCCTCCCCTGCAGGGGGCTCCTCGCTCCAGCGGACTCCTGGGGGCTGTGGTGGCGCTCCTGGGACGCGCTTGGCTCGGCTCCTCCCCCGCGCACTCGCAACCCTTTCGCCCACCTCTGTCTGGCACTGAACGGCGCTCGGCGGCAGCGGTGGCGACGGCGGCAGAGTCACGGCCGCTGGCTGACTGGCCTCTCCTGCCCCGCCTGGTCACCTGCTTCTAAAGCCCGCCGGGAGGCCCCGCCCAGACCCCGCCCCCTCGCGCTGGGGCTCGGTTGGTGGGACGCCCCGCTACGCCCTCCGCACGTCCCCGCCCACTGCCCCGCGAGCTTGGCCTCTCCTCCCTGCGCCCTCCGGCCCCGCCCGGAGCGGGCAGCCGAGGAATGCGGGCCAATCGTTGACCAAGAAGTGACAGGGGCGGAGCGAATGCTAATCACGCCTTCTTGAGACCTGGGGCGGGAAACCCTAGCTAGAAGTCCCAAAGAGTTCCCTGCTGGAGCCCACGGGTGCGGGGCTCACTTTCCTGTAATGTTCTAGCTTATGAACCTTTTCTCTTAGGGTCGCTACCAGTTCTCTCTGCAGCTAAGAATCCTTACAGAGTCCAGCGCTTGTTTAAAAGAACTGCTCAAAGAACCATCCTTAACCGTGGCACCTGTCTGTCCTCTGTGCTGTCCTCATTCACACCAGGTGAGCTCACGTCGAGAGAAGAGCGAGTGCTTACAGAGCCCCTACTGTGTGCGGGACAGAGCGTTAGTCGTTTACATTTTTAATACAAGATCTCAAATCCTTGTAACAGTTCCGTTTCAAGAAACTGGTTTAGAAACTTGAGCAGGGTAACCGAGCTAACAATAGTTCTCCAAAGAAACCGCAGCCCAGACAATCTTGTCCCCTTGCAGTATTCGGAGCGCCTGGCACATAGTAGGCGCTCAAATGGCAAACCTGGGATTCGATTCCAGGTAGTTGGGCCGCTGCGTCCACACTTTTAACCACTCCCACCATATACAACAGGTATCTCCCAGGCTTTCACCTTTACTTTTGCATTTCGTAACAAAATCTTATGGTTGTGACAAGAAAGATTTTCTTTCTCTTTGGAAGACTCGAAAGATGTTAGTCCTTTATCAGTCGAGATTTAAAATCCCAGGCAGTTCCCAGTAGAGAGAAGCGACGCTGGCTCCCAGCTCTGTAATGGACAGGGCGCGGGACCCCCTGGGGGCTGCTGGCAGCTTAGCCGCCCACCCGCACGCAGCCGGGGGCGCGGTCGCGCAGGGAGCAGCCGCCGCCGCGGGAAGACCGGCTCGGCACCTCGACTGCAGGGACACACAGTGGCGATCTCCAGATGGGTTTTTATGCTGCAGATTTTCAATGTCCTAAAAATGCCTCTTTTCTACGTGTTCTAATTAAGTTGGAAGACTGAGGTATTTAGCATACTTGAAATTCATTCACACGCTTTACAAAATGGGTTTGAATTGTTTCCCGCTTCTCCATCTCTTCCTTCTGGGAAGGAGATGAAAAAGGCTGGAGGCTCCAGGGGACCTGAAGGACTCAGGACTGGACTAAAGGGGTGAGATAGGCCGCGGTTGTTCTTGTGTTCTAGGTCCCATCTGTACAGATCGGGAAGCTAAATGGCAAATCGCCCCGTCCTTTCCCTTTAATCAAAAAGGCTTTGTGGGAAAACGAAGAATATGTGTATTAAATCCCAGCCTCAGAATTAAAAGTTGAAATAAATATCAATAGCATCACAAAAATCAAAACTACAAATATATTTTAAAATTACATTACATCTTTCATTCCCCGGACTTCTACAGGTGTTCATATTTTATCTCTTTTGTTTTTTGGAACTACTTGGCGCTCTGGGTCGGCAAACTTCCCAGGGTTGACAGTAGTGGGAGTTGAAAAGCCATGGAATAGCAGTCCAAAAGAAAGGGAAACCCTCAGTGGAAAGTATGTGCAGACTGTGAACATGCCCGGGGAGAGCTGTCTCATTCTGTGCCCTTTATACAACATGTATATTACTGGGGATGGACAAGTGTTGTCTAATAATAAAAATTATTTGAAGTTGGAGAATGTTAATCACGCCTGCTGGAATTTAGCCAGAATACTTGTGTTATTTCACTTGGTTCTGACTCAAACAATGTTATCCGCTGGCCTGTAAACCCCTCTCTTCTTAATCAATAGGAAATGTTACTTTTGCTTGGAGATCTCTAATAATAGTAGTAATAACAGCAGAAAACTTGGCCAAAAGAGACTTATTTTGCATTGCACAGCTTTTTATATCATTTGAGTTTTTGCTTTTTTATATATGTTTCTTCAATTTAACGGCAGTTTAAAATATGCTGACTGTTTAACATGTATTAATTAGGCAGGGTGCTAAATAATTCATTTACATTAATTCATTTAATCCTCACAACAATCAGATAAAACTGGCACCTTAATGACTTGCTTATTTATCTACTTATTTAGTCATTGGAAAGGATAGAAATCAACATTTTCTCCTGAGTCATAATTTATTATTCAACAAACTAGAAAACACTAAATTATTTTTAAGACATATTTTAAGCACCTAGAACATTGCCATACATTCTAGTGTATCAATTTACTCATATAGCCTTTCATCTAGCCATCCATCCATCCATCCATCCATCCATCCATCCATCCATCCATCCTTCCATCTATCCATACATCCAATAAACACCAAATTTCTGAGTTGAAGACACTACTGCTATATTAAACATGTTTCTACAAAGCCAAATTCATGAAATTCAACTTCAATTATTGTTTAAGGTGTGATTATTAATTGATGAAAATATAGACAATAATGCTAACCATTAGTAAGCGTGTGACATTTCAAAAGTTTTAAGTATTGGTTTTGAATTCTGTCATCAGGGAATCGTTACAGCATCTTTAATCTTTCTAGACTTGTGATTATATATGTATTATTTTGTTGGGGCTCTTGAGAGTTCAATGCTATAATAGAAATGAATGGACAGTAGTCTTTGTATACCCTTTGATATCTTGATAATCAACCCTGAAACAGTATGCTACACATAGGTGCCTTCAATAAATAGTAGTGAAATAAATGGATGAATGAATGACAATTGAGATTAAGTTTTTAAACTCTAGCAACTGGCATTGAATTCTTGAATACCGCTTACCTTATGCGCTACATCTGAGGTTGATTATACCCTGTTAAGTGCAGCACGTGTCCAAACCTTGGCTCTGCCTTTACTAGCCAGCTGTGCCACCTTGGGCAAGTCACCTAACGACACCAGGTCCTCCTTCCTTGTCTGTAAAATGGAATTACAAATAGTTTTCTACCTCATAGAGTTGTAGTGAAGGGTAAACAAAGTTCTATGGTAAAGGGCTTAGAGCCATGTCTAGCACCTGGTAAGTCTATATAGGTCTTAGTTATTATAATTAGTGTCTACTATGGTTCATTCTTTTTTTCTGTTTTCCTAATCTTTACACAAGGCTTGACAATTAAGTTCACAAACTTGTTGCAACCTTTTTAATATCAGAGGGATTGTTCGTCTTGAATTTGTGCCAACTGGACAATTAACCAAGTTTACTATTTGGAAGTGCTGAAAAGGCTGCATGAAAAAGTTAGACCTGAACTTTTCACCAACAATTCATGACTCTTGCATCACAACAATGCACCAGCTCACACGGCACTGTCTGTGAGGGAGTTTTTAGCCAGTCAACAAATAACTGTATTAGAACACCCTCCCTACTCACCTGATCTGGCCCCAATGACTTCTTTCTTTACCCGAAGATAAAGGAAATATTGAAAGGAAGACATTTTGATGACATTCAGGACATCAAGGGTAATACAACAACAGCTCTGAAAGAGTTCCAAAATTGCTTTGAAGGGTGTAGGCACTGGTGTCAGTGCATAGCTTCCCAAGGGGAGTACTTCAAAGGTGACCATAGTGATATTCAGCAATGAGGTATGTAACAATATTTGTTACAGGATGAGTTCGCAAACTTAATTGTCCAACCTTGTATTTCCTTTTGTATATCACTTTATTTATTTATTTATTTATTTTTTAAAGATTTTTATTGGGTAATTGGGGGATGGGAACAGACAAGTTGCTGTCCTTTTGTTCTCAGTCTAGTTGTGGAGGACGTTGCTTCACTGGCCCAAGTTGGCACCATCATTGCGCTCTTCCCGGGTGAGGCAGATCAGTCCCTGGCTTCTGGACGGCCGCTCACTGTGGCTGCTGGCCACTGATGCTGGCTGCTGGCTACACATGGTAGCCCATGGCAACCCACTGCAGCGGGGGACTGCAGCCTAAGCCGTCGCCGGCGACTCACAGCAGCCCAGCTCCAGGTTCAGCTGTTGTTCAGCATCTTAGCTGTAGAGGTCAGTGTCACTGGCCCTCATATGTGGGATCCGAACCGGGGCCCTCTGGCGTCCCAAGCCAGCTCTTAACCAACGCGCCACTCGGCCGGCCCTGTATATCACTTTAATAATGAAAAAAAAAGTTAATTTTTAAAATGTACTTTATGTCTGAGTACACTCCCAGCGGTCACCAGCCGTCTCAAGCATTTTCATATTAGCTAATGATGCCGTAGCAGAGATCATTTCACTTGCCCTGGATCAAAATGCATATACCTGACATCAGCAACCAACCCCGTGAGCATACCCAGTGCTGGCA